GTGGGAAATCACTTAAACAGGCAGATAAGGGAACTCTGATAGGACCCAAAGGGAGAGGATTGTGGATTAAACCTCAGCCTTAGATCAACACTCCCGGAACAGTGGGAAGGATGAGGAAATCAGTGGAGAGTGTGATTAGATTTCAAATAGGTCTAGATAAATAGTAAGAAATTGTGATATTGAAGGGATGATACGAGGGATATAGCATAGGAGAATAGCCCAGGAGATGAGAGGTACCACAACTGTTTAACACACGATTGATCAAAGGATCGACTTCACTTGTCTTTTTGACGAGTTGTATTGTGGTGCAAAGACTGGCAAGGCTCATTGACAATGCCGATGAAACGTCTGGGAATGTACCACGTCCACGGTCTGACTCTGGAAGTAATCATGCATACCATAGACTCCGGACAAGGTGCGTTCCTCTAGGTCTCCCTGTCAGTATGACCAAGTTACGAAAACAAGGTCAAACAACTTCTTAACTAATAAAGACTGTTTCTGAACGAGGCAAAATCGTGCTTGTCCTGATTTCTCACGTGTTTTAATTTCCTCAATTATTCAGTAGGACTGTTAGTTGACCTTACAACTAAATAATAAGCAAGGATACCGAATTCTCTGCTATGAAATGTGTGCTGACAGTTCATTGTACTAAATTTCACTGGCTGCCTTGCCAACACAGTTAAAATGAAAGGATACAATCAGTCCGAAAAGCTGAATTGTGAATATGACACATACTTTCACTTCAGACTCGGTTTCTCTATGACATCGACAGTTGGCCACTGCCGGTAGCTTTTTTGTTTGTTAGTCAAAGCATTGATAGATTTTCTTTTTGCATCAAAATGTACACACTCACTATCCTCATCTTACTAACATGCTTTAATAAAAGACAAAACAATATATCAAATGAAGGCGGAATTTCGACGATTACGAGGGTTTGACGCAAACCAAGTCCGACTCAGACGAAGAGCCGGTCAAAACTACATCCCCATTCACCAATAGCCTAAAACACTGTACCAAATACTTATTTCTGATGCCGGAACAATGGTATGCTGTATTCACGCTTAAAGATGCATTCAAACTTAGTGAAAATACTGATCACAATGAAGGAATAAACAGTTCTGGGGCTAATCAATACTCGAAGCCAGAATTATAAGCCTACTTGTTTGGATAAATTGTGCCACTTTATTCCTATGCAGCTGAGACGAGGTGCTGGTGTACAGAGAGGCCTGTGAAAATGGCAAGACAATCACATGGACATGTTGAACCCTGAAGGGCCTAACAATGCCGAAAGGGCCTCCAGATGGCGAGACAATGGCCACACTCTTCCTCGAGAGGAGTTGAAAAACTGCAATTGTGAAGATGTTGTCAACTGTTTGCGGGAGGTCACCAGCAAGTTTGAGCAGTACTCAGTTTCCATGTGCCAGTTAAACATGCGGCTGCAGCGACTGACGCATCGATATTACGGAACCGGAGGGGAACCGGTCCAGACCATCAAGACTGGCGAGGCTGTCTTCAGAATAGGCGACTCTCAAAGAAACGGAGTGCAAACGCATTCCGACGAGCAGATGCCCACAGGGACGGGCAGACATGAGGTCTTTCGAAGTTTCACCGAGCCCAGCCCGCCCGACAGGTCCATATTGCAGGGCGAGACATCATTTGAAATGTTCTCAGGAGACGAGGCTCCTCGACATCAGGACGCCAGTGAGGCTGATGCCACTTGTTCAAAGACCAATTCGAATATTTGGAATTCGCGCTCCTTTTCCGATGATGCTAGCAGTTATTCAACTCACGTGGCTGTACGTAAGCAGACGCCCTATCCCGGCCGGCAAAGCTACCATTGTCTTGCCTCCAGCCAGCCTAAAGTGCCCTCTCTTTCAAAGCCTGTCAGGCCAAACAACCAATTGGACCATCCCCATGACTGCACCAGTTACCATCCAAGCCAGGAGATGGCGGCGAATCA